TTACCGTAGCTCCTTTTGATAAACTCACCAGTTCTGCAGCTCTGTGAGCTTCATCAAGCCTTTCTAACCGTGCACCAACAATTGGATTCGTTAAAATACATAAGGCTGTTTGGATGACATCTTGGGAGTCCAAAAGGTCACTGTTTACGTCTTTTTCCGCCACTATCTGCTATTTAAAAATTAAATAGGAGAATGTAATGTTTTAGGTGGTAAAATAAAATCAGAAAAGTCTCTTTTTTCTGATATATTTACTCTTATTTAATGATCTAGCAATTAAACGTGTATTATCTTTCCAGCAAATGAGTAAACTTTATCTACTCTGTGAATATCTGTATCTGTATCTTTTAAAAAGTTTCTAATTTTTTATTTTGCACCTCTATCATGAGGAATTACCAGTGAATAAAAAGTTTTTGGTAAATGCCTGCTGCATAAATACCTTAATCACTTTTTAAATGCAAGATAACAGTGATAATTCAGCTTGAGGAACGGTTATTAACTCAAAAATTTGTCTTACAGAAAATAAACACGTTTAATTTCACTCAAAATAACCTAAAAACGAAGTGAAACTGTGATATCAAGTTTCCACAGGAGGGGGCAGTATAACCTTATTTTATTTTAACCCAGACACTGTCAGTGATGTCCAGTAGGAGTCGCGATGACTTCCTGTGGCATCCGGTGACATCCGGTCGTTAGCTGTTAGCTTAAAATTAGCATCGGCTAGCGTGGTCCAAAAACACCATTTAGTGACGGATTTCAAACTCAAACGTGGCAAAATTTCAGCGATTAGGCTTCAAAGAAACGGAGCAGCGGATCAGAATGCAACTTTAAAGCGTTTTTCAACTTTAAAAAGCAGATTGAAATTCCCTATGAAAACGAGTTTCATTTCCGGGTCACGTGACTGAATCTACCAATGACAGAGCAGCAACCTGGAGGAGTACTTATATCGCTGACTCAGAGGAAGTGACGCAGCCACGTCACTCACTTCTCAGCGAATCAAAGCGTTCCACAGCAGCTGATTTCAACCAATCACGGATCGTTTTTCCAGCTAGCGTGTAGCATTAGCCTGAACAAGTCCGTCAACTTTTCGTCTTTTAAACTGTCAAAATGCACTATTTTCTGTTAAAAATGTAACTAATAAGCTTCTCAGCTGCACGGAGTCGGCGCCCCGGTCTCAAAACGTCTTTCCAACCATTTAAAACAACTCGTTCGAACTTATCAAAACCGAACCGGACCAAAACCGGGTCGGCAGCAGAACCTCCGTCCGTTTAAACAGAATAAAGCATTTTACACAGCTCAGCAAATTTGTCACACACCACAGACGTACAATTTCAGCTGTCATAAAGACTCATTGACTCACAAGTACAGCTTTCAAAACATCACTAGCTGCAAGCATGCTGTATTTTCTCCAAGCATCGCAGCTCAACACGCTGCGTTTCACAGCAGCTGATTCTCTGCACTTTTTCATGCCAACATGATATCAATTGTTACACGAATACACAGTCCATTTATGAACCTGTAACGGGCCACCAGATGTAGTATGAACATATGCATGATATATATTCATAAATTAAACGGATTCTTTCATTTTTCTGGACTGTATATAATGTGCATTGAATTTAGAAATGTAACGTGAGACGTTAATTATCTTTGACTCACCAACGACAGTGGGTCATTTATTAACAGAATCAAAGTTTAACACATCACAAATTTACATTAATTGGCAAAATATGGAAAATAACAACATGGCTAATTTAGCAAGTTTTACACGGAGTAAACAATACGGCGATTGTTTTCTCACTTCCGGCTGTACAACAGACACTTCTAAAAATATCTGGAATGATTTCTACTTGATAGAAGAATTTTAAAGATGGAAAGATGAAGTTTAAAGGGAGAAAAAGATGGATGAGAGAGAATGTTTGTGTCGGCATCAGAA